GCTCTACAATAAGGAAGTCTGGAGAAAGAGGTCCGGCTGTATTAAGTTGCTAGCTAACAACAATACTAGGGTGTAGTTATGGACAGTAAGGTAATACGGTGGTCCAATGGCTTATGCAAATTAACAGGTCAGCACAGTATATAGCAACCACTACATTGAGGCTGGATCGTTTTACGGGGCTTGTTTGGACCTTTACGGTAGCCTAAACCTTGTAAACACACTACAACCTATATTATTAGGCGCGCATGAGCAGCGAGGGTTACTTGTCGTGTGTGCTGTCAGTTAAGTGACAACTCACTTCTCCAGTCATAGATCGCGTCAAAAACGGGGTTACATACCCAGCGGCCGACGGAGGTCAGAAAATATGTGGGATTTTCTCTGAAACTGCTTCGTTGCAGAGCTAGAGCGTTTTCCTGTTCGTACGGTACGGCAAGGGCGGCCATTTTAAAAATTTTAGTTTTTTTTGCTTTGTTTATTGTTGTTGTTGTTGTTTTTTGTGCTTCGTTTTTTGGGGTTTCTGCGTTTTGGTTGTTTTGCAAATTTTAACAACGCGCATGTGTGTATACACCAAAACGCACGCGACTCCAAGGCGGCAGGCGGCCAAAGCGGCGCACGCTGATTGGGACCACGTGGCCAGCAGCCATTTTGTTTTCCCTCATTTCTCTGTGAGACTAGACTGAGAAGACAGTTGCGTTCAGTAAGTATGCCTCCAACTAAGGCGTTTGAATTGTATATAGCTCACTAGGTTAGGCTTGGGAGGAAAGAATAAGTTCATCTATGAACCTAAATACAGCACCAGTAGCTAAGTAGCTACAACAATTGTACCTGACCTGGTGATACCATTGCCCCACCCATTACTTTTCATAATTTTGCGTGTATGGTCACTGCGTCGAGGATTTGCACTTCAGTTATAGTCACAATAAAAACAAACATTATTGTGTAGCTATGCCTAAATTAAACAATTATCCCAGTAGGGTAACTACTTCGAAACCTTACCGTCTCAAGATGATAGCTGTAGCTATATACCTGTTGTGCGGAAATTTCATTCAAATTGAAAAATTTATAGCTATCCCCTTCAATGAAGACGGATGCAGAGTGAAAGGTGCAGCAGTAATGACTAATTAATTGTAAGGTTATACGCCAACCTGAGCGAAGGCAGGACAGTAGATGTGGGATTGTTCATCCATACAACCTAGCACCGCGATTCTTGATCACCGTGCAACTCCTAGGTCCACTCCTATCGCATGTGATCAGTTACGCAACCTCCACCGCGCACCCAACTATTATTATTATTATTATTATTATTATCACATGCCAATAATAAGGCACAAAAAAGAAAGAAGAGATGATGATATAAGGAGTTAAGAACATGATAATTTAAAAAGAAGCTCTTCAAATGGCGATACAGGACCAAAAACATAACGGATAGAACGAATAATTTGGGCAACATTTGTAACATGATCAGTATATGTTTCATTTTGTAAGAGTAAATGACCAAACATGAAATTATGTCCAACGAAGGTATAAGCTAAAAACATGAGTCATAAAATATACGCGAGACAAATGACGAATTTGACATAAGGCCAGAATTAAAAAATTTAATAAATCTTCCATAAATTATTCGAAGTATATTTGTAGTCTTAGCAACACAGTGTACTATGGAAACATGACAACGGGAGGGCAAGTGCCAAACTTTTCGCATGACCTTGTTCAGAGCAGTTTGAAGAGAGTACAAATTCTTTGACCCTAAATGCCAAAGGCAACAACCATAAAGGGCGAGACAATATAACTTAACAAGATAACATTTGACATAACTATCAGCAAAATAGAATGTACAGAGAGAACAATTAGCTTTTTTGTTTTAGATCTTTGAGTGCACGGGTTACATCAGGTCCTAATGCCGCGTGTGCATGCGAGCGTGTCGGAACTCTACAGTCGTTGGAATGCCAGCGCCTTCCACGAGGCCTTCGAGGTAAAAAGTAACATTTTAAGGAAGCGTACAGCTAGCTAACCTGCGTTAATGTTTGCGCAGGCAGCAAGTTTGCAAGGGTTTGTGTATAATTGTGGTGCGTGTGCGCGTAGGAGCCGGCGTCGCAACTGCATGCGTAGGCGCAGCGTGTGTGTGGTTGAGCCTCCATGTTGTGCCCGCTTACAGTGTACCTAACACTGTATTAAAAGCCTGTCATGAAACCACAACTTTTTATAAAGATTGCCACAACACTAATTAACCTCACTAGTACATGTCATCTGTGCTCTTTCACTTCCCATGCAGAGCACCATCATGCAAGCTGTTCATTAAAAAATATAGCTAAAACACAAGTGGAAAAATTGTTTCTTCAAATGAATGGGGATATAAGGATGGCTTTGCAGCACCAAAGAAGAAGAAACCATGGGTCATACACAGCAAGCACACACACCACAACTTACGTGACACCATTTCTTCCCTACCTCATCTTTGTTCCTACGTATAGTGCAAGCCAAGGTTGGTATCAGACAAAGATATAGGGATGGTGTCATGTAGTTTTGTATACATTTGCTGTGGAATGATGCTGTTTCGTCCTTTGGTGCTCCAAGCACATCCCTATATCCCCCTTTATTGTGTATAACGAAGACCGCGTAGCATCTTCATCCTGCAAAGCACATTTTGTTTTCACCCAGTCTTCTCCTGAAGAAGATCACAAGCAGCACCACGCGTAAGTTTCTTGTATATCCTTACTACGAATGCCCTTCCTTTACTATAATCATTTCCTCCTAGAAATTCACCTGGAATGAAGGAAACTGTAACTTGTAAGAGTAATAAAATGAGGAAAGCAAGTTTGTTGTGGTTGAATTACGCCTAGGAATGGAGGAAATTGCATACTGCTTCATGATATGTCACAATATACATTAATGTAGGTTACTTTACTGCGTTTATAGATTATCACGTGCTAACAATGTAAATATGAATGTACTATTACCCACTGGAAAGAAGAAAAAAGTGTCCAATTGTGTTGTAAATTATGTTGTTGTTTTTATTGTGATTGTACATTCGAAAATCAAGTATTTATGGGGTGGAGTGGTGAAGTTTGGGGTTCAAGCTTCCCTCCCTGCCCTCCCTGCACCCCATGCCCCCCTGCACCCCTACCCCCACCCCTGTACATGAAACCCTGACTTGCTCCTAAGCAGTTGTTTCTTCCTTGACGGTTGATCCATAACATTATTCACTAATACCATCAGTTCCTCCATTGCAGACAGGTGAGTAGCTATGCAGTAGTAAGGTAGTGACCAACAAAACACCCCCACACCCCCCCACCCAACCCCCCCACCACCCCAACAACAAACCCCAACCCCACCCCCACACAAACAACAAAACCCCCCCCACCCCCAACCCAACCACACACACACCCACCCAACAACCAAACCCCCCAACCAAACCCCCCCCCACCACCCCCAACCACCCCCAACAAAAAACAAAAAACCCCCCAAACACACAAACCCAACCAAAACAAACCCCCCCAAACCACACACCACACCACCACACCCACACCCCCCCCCACCCCAACACCCCCACCACACCCCAACCCCCCAAACAACCCCACCACCCCCAAAACCCCAAACCAACACCCCACACCCACCAACCACAACCACCACACCACCCACAAAAACCAAAAACAAAACAAACACAAACACCAAACCAACCCCACACAACAAACCCACCCCCACAACCCACCCAAAAAACCACAACAAACCCCCCACCACACCCCCAAACACCCCCCCCACCCCAACCCAACCCACAAACCAAAACACCCCCCCCCCACCCCCCAACACACCCACCCACAAAACCCCCCCCCCCAAAACCCCACACCCACAACCCCCCAACAACACCCCCAACACCACCACAAAAACCCACCCCAACACCCCCCCACCCCCCACCACCAACAACCCCCACCCCCCAACCCCACAAACCCCCAAACCCCCAACCACCAACCACCCCACCCACCACCCCCAACACAAAACCAACACACCAAAAAAACAAAAACCACGTGAGGATGAGTGCATGGTTGTAATTTGTAGGAATGAAGGAAAACGTGGAACTCCAAGGCTGTTGTTCCTCATACTTCTTATACAAAACATGTGGTATAGAGCTCTTTGGTCTTGGTTGGCCAACATTAGTTTCGGTCAAGATAATAATTCTCCACATTTCTGTCCGCATTTTTAACACCTGAAAATCCTGGTCTTAGGGTCCACTCGGTGGTGTACTCTGGGGGGTGTTCTCTGGCCAATAATAAGGCCCATAACACCCACCGTTCCCCGCTCTCCACCACTCCGTAGCGACGCCTGGTGTTAGCACCTTGCAAAGGAGAAAGTAGTCGACGGTATTATAGCTACCCACCCACGCTACGTGCATAAGTATAATACGTACCTACATCAACATAGCCACAATAATTATTGTAACAGAAAAGTAGCTCGCACTTGAATAAACTTATCTCTACCTGGTCTTTCACTTGTTTGAATGAGGCTTCACAGTGCGCGGAGATTGTCTACCACGAAAAGTCGCGGAAAAGTCTCAACACTCTATCTCAGATCTGTGATGATATACCACGACCTTATTTGCCCCAGCTTGAATAATTTAGGCGCAAGAGAATTTTTGTGTTTTGCCCGTCTATCTATGCTACGTCTCATTGCCCCGTCACGAGTGAAAAGTCCCCGCTATTCATCCGCGGTTAGCGCTGGCGCAACTTGGGCAGCCCGCGCTATAAAAGAGCCCGCGTTGGTCGATCGCACATTTCACTCTGCTGCTGCTTTGAGAAAATCTTCGACTCAGAAAACAACTACGACTAAACCATGTCCTCGGACGACTTTGATGTTCTCAAGACCCTGTGGACCCAAGTGAACAACGTATGCGTTCCGCCACCACCGCCTGGTCAGTCTGCGAAGGCATTCTTCTTGATGGAGATGCCTGGGTTCTCGGTGGATCCCAACGCCTTCGATCCGTCCAAGTTCAAACCTGGGATTATGATGAGTCCGGACTGTGCGACTGCATCTCTGTGCGATCGCGTCCCTGCACTCGCTCAGTACTTCTACGACACGGGGAATCACATTTCGTTCTTCTGGGATCTGCTACTGGAGACCTTTACTGTCGAGGGAGATTTCGACAAGAAAAACGCCGATGTCGAGGCTCGCTACCAGAGGGCGATCGAAATGCTTTATGGCAGTAAAGAGGGCTACATAAAGCAAGAGAAAACGCCCTTGTATCAGGGCATGTCAAAGTTGCGCGACGAATGGAAACGAGCCGAAAGGAACAAGGAAAGTTTCAAGAAAAAATGCATGGAGGATGAAGAAAATTGGCCGGGAAACTACGAGAAGGGCGCTGCTCCGTTCGTTGATGCGGTGGAGCAAGCGTACACTGAGTACAACAACCTGAGTCTCCAAATAGATAAGTACGAATCTGCCATCTTCGCCTACGCAATGGGCGACCTCAACACCGTTTTACTTGACCAGGAAATCAGTAAGATTTCGTACTAACTCTAACTATTAGAAATAGGAAAGTGAAAGCTATATGGTTAAATGTTACGCAGCATTATTGCGTGCGAGCCTATAGTCATCTATTCGCTCACCAACATTTTTATGAAGGCAATTAGATTAAACATTTGGCTGTACCTAGAATACCACAAGATTTCACTGATTTAAGCTATGATCGCGTTTGTTTCAGAGATGGCGCGGCACCGGCGAGACGACGCTGGAAATACCGGGGCCACGTTCTACCAGGTCACTCTCCAACCAGGCAACTGGTACAAGTGGTTTGGCAGTGGGGGTGATGAAGACCCCGCTAAAGAAGACCCAGAAGATCCCTCTGTGAAGGATACTGATGAAGATCCCAACACCGGATGGACTGTGGTATATATAATTAAAGGGGCTATCCTCAAACACAGTTAAAGAGTGATATAATTATTTTAGGCCGTTAGTTACTCCGTACGAGGGAAGCTAAGGAATTTCAATGAACCCCAGAGCTTCTGCGTTTCAGTTGTGCTAGGGAACTACGCGGATGGCACGAGGGTTTAATTTAAATCTCTTTATGCATGTTGAAACTAAAAAAGAATTCTGTAGACGATAACCCTACATGTTTCTGCATAGCTATGTGATGTACGTAATCTTGTCATTTGAAAGTTTAAGCGTCCTAGGTATATACACTACGGGAAATGAAGTACCTCGTGTGGACTAATCAGATTGCTCCATTTACACTAAATAAACAGGGGGACAACATTTTGAAGACGCACGTTTTTAGTATTTCACCCACTTGTCGAGAAATGAGTGGCAGTAAAGTTAATTACATTTTGTTGTGCCAGTATAATGAAAAGCACTAAAGTGCAAACCCTCGGCGCTAAACACGCGAGTTGCATCGCTGTATGCTGGGGCCATGCGTCATCGACGGAGCCAGTAACACGAGTCTCACCGTAACGCAGGGTAGTTGCATTAGCGGTTAGAGCAATTGTTCAGGTGTTTCAGAGGCTCTGATATTGAATCTATCCGCTCTTCTTTGCTTCAATGCTCTCCCCAGACGTTTTATAGATGGGAAGGTAAGGCCGCAACCACAAACTGCTCGCCACCTGAACTATTATGCTACATTGCAAACATATATTACCTTGCTCAGCATGTATATCCATTGAGAGAACAGAGATCATAACTGACAGAAGGCCTTGGATCGTACAACCAACGTTGCGTAGCGCATGCTCCAGCGAATAATTGACATGACGCGTGCGCGCTATATAGCCTGCCGGAGAGGGCGCGTGCGCGTTGGCGTTTTCGCTTGTTTTCACGCCATATCTCAGGAACGCAGTCGTTTCAGCAAAATCGCTACATTCATATCAATCTTCTCGTCGTTCACAACCCGTTGGTGCCACTCATTGGCCGCCTCGTGCCTGTAGTGCTAAAACTCGCGCGGACAGACGGACAGACAGAACGACTACTGTAAACTACGCTGCGCATGCGCGTCCGAGGGTTAATAATGACGCACTTGAACAAATGCAGCACACACCTAGTTTAGAAACACAAATAAACACTGATGCACACGTGTGGGCATAGTAAGCACACTTCCTTGCCGGTACTGATATCATTGTAGCGATCATGGTCGAAGAGCTACTGTTGTTTTGCCTTTTCTCACTGGACACAGATCAATATCACTCAGTCACGTTTGAGTGAGAATACCGAAGACTCCTTCAGCAAGATGTCGTTTGAAGCAGGGGATCGTACGGAGGGCTGGTGAGTGTGTCTGGTGGCTACAGCAACGAAGAGGGGAGCAGCAGTCTGGCAGTGAGCGGGTCAAACCTCAAAATCTCGTTCAAAATCCGGAAAGTGACCATCCAGCGTCCGTGGATGGATCCTGCCATTCTCCATTATCCCATCGTTGGCATCAAGGGTCTACCATCTGGTGCATGGTCGTCTGGGGAACTGGATGGCAAGACCAACCATGGCTCCTTCCCACTCCTCCCAACAGCTATGATAGTGGCCAAGGATGTTGTCATCACCTCCGACAAATTTTCAGAGTCTCTTAAACAAAGTTTCAGTAAGACGTCTGTTCATGCTTCTGTGAAGGTATCCAAAACTAAATCAAACACTTTAACGTTTGGACATAATTATTATTTTGTCTCTTCAGGTGGGCATTGGTCCATTTAGTGCTCAAGGGAATTTTGGGTACTCCAACGGCTCAAAGAGTTCTAACTCTGACATATCTAGTGATGGAAAATCAATTCACATTCATGGAGCTCAGATCATTGGCTGGGTCTGTGTGGTAAACCCATACTTCCCTCATGTTGATTGCAAGTAAGTGTGTATATTATTATTATACCAAGTCATAGTTTTCGATGAAAGATCGGTGAATAAGAGTGCCAATTTTGCTTTCCATCCCATGCAGATTGACACCAAAGAAGTAGATGGTTTCCAGTTGAACAAATAACTGACTCTGAAAACATTTTAGCCATTAGCTATATATTAGCTGGAACAATGATAGAGACTTAGTAGAATATTAGTGAATTTCATACATGATGGTTAGAAATAATGTTTTCGTAGCTAGACTATTATATTTCAGAGAAAATTCGAACGTATACGTATAGTGGCAGGAAATAAAACTGTTATCATTATAACCCCTTGTTTTTTCCATGTTTTTCAGCCATACGTATATGTACCTCCCTTCGTTTTGAATAAGTATCTGATACAGCCAACTGGTGTCCAACTGCTGGTATCTCTGCCACCCTAGAACCAGACTAAAACCTGCCTGAAAGCTATGTATACAATGCTATGATGAACTTCAAGGTAACTGAAACTCATTGTACGACGTGTCATTGGGAATAAACACTACAATTCATGAGTACGTGTGAAAAGGTGCTAGCTTTCTAAAACACGATGTAGAGTTGGAATACCGGACACTCTGGCTTATCTCTCACTGACACATGATTTTAAATCCGGAGAGGTGATTTTGATAGATGAGAAAGCATGGACAAGAACTGCATAGCAAAGTTACAAAAACAAAGGGATTGCTAGCTGCCAACTAGAGCAAAGTAATCCTGACACAAACAGTCCCGAGGTTGCCCTCAATGAGTAATATTTTTTGCTCGGCTGGTTGAGATATTATTGTTATTGCACAGGGACTTCCAAACCATTTGCCCAATCAGAGCGTCGGTAAACGCTCTATATAATTATAGGGATGACACGAGTGAAATCTCCCGTGATCCGCGTACAAAACGCCTCAAAACTCAGCGAGAATGACTCACCATGGCTTCAAAATCACCAATACCTAGCTATACATATGCCCCAAGACTTCCTACGTGCCCTCAATTCCTCAGGAGAGAATTCGCACTTACACGATTTCGCGATTTTCGTGCCATCATAATGATATTATTCTTCTTCAGACCCGCTAGCTCCTTACCGGAAGCAGTTGAAGCGTTGATTTTTTCACAGAACGTCTCTAAATTTTCCGGAGGTGTGCATGCATATCAAGCGATCGTTTGTTTCTTGCCGCAAGTCACTACGGTAGATCGTTGAGCTCTTCCACGGTAGTCACAGGACAACGCCATTTGCAGCATCAGTGAGCCGCATGCGCCGAGGAGGGCGTTTCCCCAATGCGGTGCGCGCGCATCTCGTGCGTGACGAGATAAGCCAGGACGCCTGCAGAGGAACTCTTATCCTCCAGTGCCTTCTGTAAGTCAGTATACACATTTTTAACTGGCTAGCTTGCGTTTTGCTGTTGATTTGCACGAGGAGCAACTTGGCAATCTGCGCCGTGTTACGCGTGCCTTGCCAGGCGCCTTCATTGTTTGTCCCCCAGGTTATAGTAGTCTGATTACTGAAGCCTGCCTACGAAACCACCCCACCATATGTGCCACAACCTAATTGCATCGTTGTTGGAGACACTACGCATACACCCTGCTTCAGGTAGGAGCAGCCCATTAGCTTCTGCTTTCAACAGTTATCTCTACAACAATCAGAGTGAGGCATGAAAAATAGTGGAAACAAGTGGAAAAATCATTTCTTCAAAATGAAAGGGGGATATAGGGATGGCTTGAAGCACCAAAAAGGAAGAAACAAGGGGCATTACACAGCAAAGATGCACAAAGCTACATGACACCATCCCTATATCTTTGTGTTGTATATAGTTCACCGGATACGCCACTGGACTAGCTACCTCAAGGTGTACTTACGTCGTCAAACTGCATGCGTTTGTTCTGTCGATTAGCTTGTTCTAACTCTATTGATCGGAAATATGTTTGTCGAGGCTCGGTCTTGTATCCACTCCACGTCAGCCTGGCTTGAATGTTTCCACTATCCAGCCTCTTCTACATTTCGGCGACGACATATTTGCAGCTGCAGGCGACCCACTGGGCCCGTAGGGTTTTTCCCTCGCCCTTTTTGTTCTTGTGGGTTGTCCTATAGGCTCTGCTGGATTTCCAAAATGCAGGACACCCTCGTGAATTTGAGGGATCTCCAAGATGACCAAATGGAAACCGCTCTCTTGAGGTCCTGCCTCCCCTTCCCTAAAATCGCCTACACTCTCTGCACCTGTGCCTTTTTACCCTCGGCGCGCATGCGCAGCGAGGGTTTACTGTAGTTGTCGTGTGTTTCATTCTGTCAGTTAAAAGTGAGAACTCACTTCTCCAGTCATAGATCACGTCTAAAACGGATTTACATACCCAGCGGCCGACGGAGGTCAATATGTGGTGAAACTGCTTCGTTGCAGAACTACGGTACGGCAAGGGCGGCCATTTTAACAACGCGCATGTGTGTATACACCAAAACGCACGCGACTCCGAGGCGGCAGGTCAGGCGGCCAAAGCGGCGCACGCTGGTTGGGACCACGTGGCCAGCAGCCATATTGTTTTCCCTCATTTCTCTGTGAGACTAGACTGAGAAGACGGTTGAGTTCAGTAAGTATGCCTCCAACAATAGCGTTTGTTGTAGCTCACTAGGTTAGGCTTGGGAGGAAAGAATAATCTTATCTATGAACCTAAATACAGCACCAGTAAGTACAACAATTCTACCAGACCTGGTGTTACCATTGCCCCACCAATTACTTTACATAATTGTGCGTGTGTGTTCACTATTATCACTGCGCCGAGGGTTTGCACTTCAGTGCCTTTCATTGTCGTGTGTGTCATTGTCACTGCACTCGCGTCTCTTCCCCAGGGTGTTCCTGTCTCTGATGGTGGTTTTGTTCGTGTGGGTTGTCCTATAGGACTGCACTCGCAGCCTTTTGACAACACATGCGGGACCCAATTATGAAGAAATCTTTAATCGTTATGTGTCCCTGGAGGGATCATTGCTAGGCCTGATAATCACACATTCACTCAGGATTTACTGTAGTGGCTAGCTACCACAGCAACCAGCCTGTAAAAGTATTGCTTGCACCATGCTGGATGCATAGCTACACATAGCTACACAAACCCACTTTAAATATTTAGAATATATATAGCATC